TACACACAAATACACATTAGACCTAGACTCTACAATAAAGAGGGGATAGGGGGAACGCCTAAAAGGGGGAGAAAAAGAAAAGGCGCCTGAGAAAAGCTGACAGCAGCCACAATTCACCAAGAGCCCCCTTCCCCACACTTCTTCTTCTTCATTGCCTTTAAAGGCCTAGAAGCTAAGAGCTGAAACCAGCCGAAATAGACTTCCCCCCACGATTCTTCTTCTCCATGAAAACACCCCAAAAGAGCTCCAAAAAGCCATAGATAATCAGCTGAAATGACCCCCATCTACTTCAGCTCAAACCCACCATTGAAGCTGCTCCAAACCAGCCATAAAACATGAGCTAAAATCTGCTCAAACCAACTGGAAATCGCAACAAATACAGCTGCACAACATCACCCAAAATAGTTCGTCGAGCACACTCCAAAAGGTCGAGGTTGCGATTTTCATTTTCGAGTTTGTCGGCGTCGACTTGAGGTTTGCGGTTCGAGGTTCATCATTCAGTCGAGTTTGTTGTTCTAATCTTCTGTTTCATGACTGGAATTCCTATTTAATCAATTTCAGAATCATTTTGGGTTAGTTTTCTTGTAAATATTTTCCTCTTGCTTCGTGTATTTCATTTGCAGTTAGCTTAATCATACTTGAGTGTCTTATGTTTGGTTTGGTGTTGTCTCATGTTCGTTTTACTGCAATTTCTACAGAATTTGGAAGTGGATATTTTTATAATTTGGTTATTATATAAATTCTAAATCTAAGCGTCAAATATTTAGTGCCAAATTTGCTCTTTGCTTCAACATTTTGTATTGTGTTATAAAGATTGCTTTCTTCAAAATCGAGAAGATAAGTATCAAATGTGCAAATGCTTTATAATTTGGAAGTCGGAGCTCAGCAGTTCACAACGTGAAAAGTTATGAGAATTATGGCTATATTTCATTACTGTTCGAGCAGGTTTTTCTTTATTTTTGTTCATTAGTTTGTCATCTTTTGTTGGTTTAAAGTTCTGGCAAGAACTTGTTTGTTTCTTTTTAATCCATAAACAATAATAGTTTTCCTTCTCTTGGCTAGTTTTCTTAAAATAATTTAGTTATATTTAGCGGTGTAGTTTTATAGGAAAGTTAGTTCCATGAATTATCAAGACATGAATCTCTCACTGTCATTATTTGCTTAATACAATTTAAAGAAGGAAAAATCCATGTTAGAGTAACTCAAGGTGCAAAAGGCAGTAATGTATAAGGGAATTGGGCCATACGAACCTTTACGTGCCATGAAACAATTTTGATGTTAAGGAAGAACGGGCCATGGAGTTTTCTGACTTTAAAATTAGAAAATCGGGCCTTTAGGAATCTTTGGATTGGATATTTTAAGTACTATGGCCCATGGTAATAAAATTTATAAGCTAGCCCATCTTCACTAATTATGAACGCGTAGTTGCTTTAGGCGCATTATTTTAATAATTCACCTCCCTAAATTCGGGTGTGCATTTCATGTGACCCAAATCCAAATCCTAACAACGTTAAATAAAATATATTGTGGATCGCGGGTGTATTCATGTGGCGTGATCCAAAGACGTGTTTTAAATAACGTTGAATCTTTCTTAAAAATGATTAAAAGCAGTTAATAAGTTAAAATATACCATAGGCGAAAACACGTATTAAAATCAGATAATAGGTCAAGAATAACAGTTGAGCGACCGTGCTAGAACCACGAAACTCGGGAATGCCTAACACCTTCTCTCAGGTTAACAGAATTCCTTACCCGGATTTCTGTGTTCGCGGACTGTAATACAGAGTCAATCTTTCCTCGATTCGGGATTTTAAACCGGTGACTCGGGACACCATAAATTATCCCAAGTGGCGACTCTGATTCTTAAACAAATAAATCCCGTTTCGATTGTCACTTTAAGTTGGAAAAAACTCCCTTATACTCCCTTCCCGGAAAGGGATAGTAAAAAAAGGAGGTGTGACAATAACTCCAGAAATAATTAAAAGCAGTTAAAAAGCTACAAATGCACAATAGGAATAAAACATATTATTAATCAGATATTTAGGCCAAATAATAATAGTTGAGCGACCGTGCTAAAACCACGGAACCCAGGAATGCCTAACACCTTCTCTCGGGTTACATAATTCCTTACCCGGATTTTTCTGTTTTGCGGACTGTAAGACAGAGTCAAAACTTTTCTCGATTCGGGATTTTAAATCGGTAACTTGGGACACTATAAATTATCCCAAGTGGCGACTCTGAATTTGAATATAAATAATCTCGTTTCAGTTATTGTCACTTTAATTAGAAAAACTCTCTATCCCGGGAAAAGGGAGGTGTGATATCATTAACAACCGTGCAAATATCAAGTCAATAATTATCTAATTTACTAGTTTTAACCTGCTTAAATTAACGTTTACAATTTTTGTAATACTATTATAGCTAACATGAGTAACAGAATGAAAAGAAAAGCAGTATATTATGGTTTCTTGGTAGAATTTAACTAACAAATTCCGCTGTAGCACTGGCAATTCCAATCATGACTATCGGAATCCAGGTTCAAATCCCGGCAGCGGAAATCTTTTTGGAAATTGTGTCAGTCCTATTAAAAAACCCTGCTTTTTTGTTACTCCCTCCTAGTGATTTTTTGGATATTTTCACACAGGTTAAGAAATTCACCTTTTAACATTAATGAGCAATGAAATTGACCATATTAACCTTTACTATCTCACATAAACACTCATAACATATACTCCAACACTATTTACTCCAAGGACAATATAGGAAAAAAATAATTAATTCATTCTTAAAATCTGAAATAATTACTTATTTTGGACCAAAAAAAAGGCAAAAAAATTACTTATTTTGAACCGGAGGGAGTAGTGTTTTTCCTTAAATTTCTTTAGTTTTATTTTATTATATCTTGTATGTTTTTCTTTCTGCTTAGATAAGTCGTATAGTATTAGCTTTACTCACTTAGATCAGGATTATATTCATTTTCTTTCACCATTAAAAAGAAAAAGCAAAAAAGCAAAAGAGGATATCTTTTGTACTCCTAGGATAATCCACGAGGAGAATCTTAGTATTTTGGTTGGCAACAGAATTTTCACCTTATTGGTGAGGGTTCGATTTCCCACGTTATAATCTTTCCTGTCAGTGGCAGATTCAGGATTTTAAAGTTATGGGTTCTAGCCGATAAAGACTTCAAAAAAAGAGGAAAAATGAATTTACTTGTGGGTGCTCACTCAATATTTATCTAAATAGTTGTACAATTGCCTATGTAAATTTACTAAATATGGTCAAAGTTAATGAATGCTTAAGCACCCACAAGTGCCCATGTGCATCCGCCACTGCTCCCCGCCAATTTCCCTTTCTCAAAAAAAAAAAAAAAAAAAAAAAAA